ATACAATGTATCCAATGTATCCAATTATCTCATGTAATGAAAAGTCAGAGACAGAGAAGATGTGAGAAAAGTAGCAGAATTAGAGTGGGGTGATGTGAGAGAGACTCCATCTGCCTTTGCTGGCTTTAAAGATGGAAGAGGACCAAGAGCCAAAAAATGTGGGCAGATTCTAGAAGCTGAAACGGACAGAAAACAATCTCCCCTAGAGCCTCCACAAAGGAACACAGCCCTCCTGACATTTCATTCCAGTGAAAATCATTTTGAACCTCCAACCTTCAGAACTGAAAGATAACGTATTTATGTTGTTTCCAGCAATTAAATTTGTTGTCACTGGTTTTGGCAGAACTAGAAAACTAATACAACATACAAGCTATAAATGTTCATGGCCTCCTGAGCCTAAAGATATATGATGCAAAAGTCAACAGGATTAAAGTGAGAGAGAAATGTTCACAATCATGGTAGAGGGTTTTAACACCTCTCACTCTGATAAAACAGCTATAAAAAAAGTAAAGACAGAAGATTTAAACAACACTGTCACCTCCCTCTATCTAACTGATATTTATAGAACACAGCATTCTATGACCGCAGAATACACCTGCTTCTCATACACACTGTGTAGTTACTGAGATAGATCAGATGCTGGGACATGTATCTCAATAAATAAAAAAGAATAAAAAATCACACAATGGGGTATTTTTGAGCAAAACTAAATTATATTAGAAATAAATAACAGCAAAATATTTAGGAAAACATTAAATATCTGGAGATTAAATCCTTACAAATAACTATGGACCAATGATGAAATCATGAGAAAAATTATAAAATATTTTCAACCATTTGAATGACAACAAAAATACAACATATCATAATTTTTGGGTTGAAGTATTGTTTAGTGGGAAGTTTAGAGTTTTATATGGTTATACTAGAAAATAAGAAACACCTAAAGTAAATGACTTAATATTTCACTTCAAGAACCTATAACCAAGATCAAAGCAAGTCCAAAATATATAGAATGGAAATAATGAAAATAAAATGGAAATCAACAAATTATAAAACAGATTTATATATAAAGAATGTAAATTAACAAAGCCCAAAGCTAGTATTTGGTAAATATCAACAATATTGGCAAATCCTTGATTAGAAAAAAGAAAGTCTTTTAGAAAATAGCGCTGAGTTATTTTGATAGATGTATGAAAAATAATATATATAGACTCCACAAAAATGAATCCAAAATAGATCATAGACTTTAATGCAAAATCTAAATCAACAAAACATTAAAAAGAAAGCCTAGAGGTGCCTGGATAGCTCAGTTGGTTGTGCCTGCCTTTAGGCTCAGGTTATGATCCCTGGGGTTCTGGGATCCAACCCCATGTCAGGCTCCCTGCTCAGAGGTGAATCTGCTTCTCCCTCTCCCTATGCCCTTCCCCACTACTTGTGCTCTCTCTCTTACACAAATAAATAAAATCTTTAAAAAAAATAAAGTAAGGGCGCCTGGGTGGCTCAGATGGTTGGGCGTCTGCCTTCGGCTCAGGTCATGATCCCAGGGTCCTGGGATTGAGTCCCGCATCGGGCTCCCTGCTCCTTGGGAGCCTGCCTCTCCCTCTGCTTCTCTCTCTCTCTCTCTCTGTCTCTCATGAATAAATAAATAAAATCTTTAAAAAAATAAAAATAAAAATAAATAAATAAAAATAAATTTAAAAAATAAAGTAAAATATAATATAAAATAAAATAAAAAGAAAGCCTAGACATAAATCTTTGTGGCCTTAGGTTAGGTAATGATTTCTTAGATGGAACATGAACAATATCATATATGCATCCAGTTTGATAAGGTGGACTTGAGCAAAATTAAAATCTTTTGCTCTTCAAAGAAACATATTTATTCCAGAAAAAAAGAACTATCTCCACACAATGTTCAAAATGTTCACAAAGGCGTTTCATAATAGCCCCACACTGACAACAACCAAATGCCCATCAACAGGTGACTAAATAAACTATTTTATCCACACAATGCAAAGACAGGAAAACATTATAAATTTTTGATTCATATTCAACATATCAATGTGTGTTGACTGAAAGTGCTTAGCAAAAATTAAAATTAAAGTAATGCATGATTCCATATATATAAAGTTTTGGAAGTACAACTAAATTATAGTGATAGAAAGTAGACTAAAAAATGCCTGAGGAGGAGAGTGAAAGAATAAATGCATTACAAAGGAGCTTGAGAAAATTCTTGGGGGTGATGTAAATGTTTGTTTAGATGATTGTGATAGATTTGCGGGCACATCCATATGTCAAAATTGATCACATTTGCCCTTTATAGATTGGCATTGTACTATGGTCCAACCATATTTCAATAAGGTTGAGAACAGGGGATATTTATTTTTCTAATTATTTCTACTAAAGAAGAATAAAGTTAAATTTTTAAAAAAGGAAAAATTGATCACATGTTCGAAAAGCTATCAATAAAACAAAACAAAAATTATTCTTAAAACAATGGTTTAATAGTTGAAAAAAAACTATTTTATTACTTTTAAAATAGTTTTACCTAGCCAGCTTCTAATCAAGAAACAACAATCTCAAGGAATGTTCAAAGAATTTTCAAAACATTCTTTTACAAAGCAAGTTTTTTTTTTAAACCTCCCTAAATAAGAGATACTATATAATTTGCTTGTGAGCTTTATTCTAACCATTTACTTCAGAAAATTAAACAGGCTAACCAATGTCTAAACCTTTATTTTATTTTATTTTATTTTATTTTATTTTATTTTATTTTATTTTATTTTAAAGATTTTATTTATTAGACAGAGAGAGTGAGAGAGTACAAGCAGGGAGGAGTAGTAGAGGGAGAGAGAGAAGCAGGCCTCCCGCTGAGTAGGGAGCCTGACGCAGGGCTTGATCCCAAGACCCTGAGATCATGACCTGAGCCGAAGGCAGACACTTAACCATCTGAGCCACCCAGGCGCCCCAATGTCTAATATCAACAATATTGGCAAATCCTTGATTAGAAAAAAGAAAGTCTTTTAGACCAATGTCTAAACCTTTAAAGCAAAGGGGAAATACCTCTGTGATCAAAAGCAACTTGTACTTTGTTATATCAGTCCTTGAAAAACACAGTGCCTTAAGTTTTTTTTTTTGTATTAAAGTATTCATATATTAAAAGATCACAAGAACATGCAATTTGTACTGCAACATACAATCCACGTGTTTACCCCATTATTTTTTACCTAGGTGAAATCACTAATATCTAAAAATCTCACATAATTTTATAGCAGCATTTCACATTATAGGGGATATTATTCTCCATCTATCACTTTGATATTTGAATTCAAGTTGAGGTTGATTTAAATCACTGTTAATCCAGTGTTCTAATAAAGCATGAGCTCTGTTGTATTCATTTTGGGTCCACAATCACTCAGTACCGATTCTAAATCTTAAACAGCTCAATGAAAAGACCCTAGGTTTAATCTAGTATGGCTTTTTAGAATTCTTTTCAATGAGGTTTTAAAACATAGACACAGAAATTATAGATTTTAATTTAGCTTTTCATTTATTTCATAATGAAAACTTAGGTAGGCGTCCATGGAGGGCAATTTAGAAGTTTTAGGACACCTTTGAAGGATGTGGCTATGCTTGAGTAAACATGTTTTGTCACCCTTAAATTTTTGCTCATGTAGGTCCACATTAAAGAAAAGGAAAAAAATAACAATAAATTTTGGATTAAAATACATATTTTGAATTATAAAATATAAGCAAACATGTTGAAAGTTTGAGAAATATTTATAATTTGCTACAAATGTTGACTTGAAAAAGAAATGTATATGTATTAATATGTAACATATTAATATGTATATATAAAATAATGGGAAAATAGTAGAAAACAGTATTATGAAAAAAAGCTAAATAAATTATTAGCATCACTTCTTCCTCTGTATGCCCTGAATAATATCATAGCATTTTTTTGTTTCTTTTTTTTTTTAAGATGTATGATGGCAATAAAACAACTTTCTTGGAAGTTCTCTAACTTTAGCAAATGAAATCTGTAATTTGTGAAATAATTATTTAATATCCTTCATAATTTTTTTATAATTGTTTAATTGGCCTTTCCATGAATTTCTTAACAAGGACACTTATGAATAGGTAAAATAATATGGATTATTTGTGTTTGTTCTTGAGGAAATATTTGCTTTCTAAAGACATTTTCAACAAGAAAATACATCTTATTTCATAGTTATCACAACATTCTATCAATATTAATGTACTAGAAATTCTCCAATAGAAATGTTTTGTCAATAAGAGCATCTTATACACTCCCACTATGACAGTTATGTCTTCTTAAACATCAGAGAATCTCCAACATTGATGATTCTTGAATATTTATTGAAAATAATATTAAATTTCTTCCTTTTTATGAACATACATATGAAATTATTCTAAAATCTCATTGAATGATGTAAGGTGGATTGTGCATGTACATTAGTCCTCATATTCCACCAATCTCACATCTCCTTGTCATAATTCCTCTTTACAGACAATAAGCATTATTCTGATAAATATGAATGCTGATATATTAAATCATCTTAAAAATACTATTTTATATCTTATGAGGATGTAAAATAATTCAACAAAATAACTACACAGGTGAAACACAGGACCATTAATATTATAAATCAACAGATAAAACTCTAAGGAGATACTAACCAATTACTGATAACTAATACAATTCAATTTATATTGTGTTTGGGTTAAACACACTGCAAAAAAAGAAAATCACAATTTTCAGAGTAAGTAGTATCAAAACCATTAAATAGCACTGTGAAATGCCCTATAACATCCACTAGATGTCTCTAATAACTGACTCTGAATGGCTACATTAGTTCTAGAGCTATGAGTCAAATACCGAATCATGAACTTCAGAGGTATTTTGAGGATCCTACCAAAATTCGTATTTTCCAAAGCAGACAAAATTGTTTTAATAAACATACAAAAGGAAAATAACTTACATTCAATATCAAGGTACATGCTCTTTTGGTGCCCTCCAATCCTACTCGCAGCTTCACAGTCATATCTCCCTGAATCTGACAACTTCACATCTTTAATATGCAGTGATGAGCTTCCGTGATGCCCTTTGACTTCGATACGGCCATCTGGGCTCTGTTTACATCGATTCAGGAAAAAGAAAGATTTTACGCTTGTTTCATGCAAATGATGACCAAACATAGGGTGTTTATCACATATATGATAAATGAAAATAAAGTCTTAACTGCATTACTTTTTTTTTTTTTTTTTTTTTTGAAAGCAATGTTTCTGTATTTATGACTTACTGTTTTTGGCTTTTCCATTGTACCTGCCCACTTGCTTACAGGGACACTAACATGTAGTAAAAACTTCAACACATGTTTTATCAACCTCTTTTATTTAGGCACTCTGTGCTTTTTAAAAAGCTTGCTTGTTCTTCTAGGAAGGGCTTTGTTGGCTTCCAATTATGCTCCTTGCAAACATAACAGAACAACAATGCCTGTTCAATTCTGGCTGAAACCCACCAGAAAATGATATTCCTCCTTCACTTTAGTTTCCTATTTCACCATGTATAGATAATGTATCAAGATGTCTGAGAATTAAAGCCTTTAATAAGAATTTATAGTTATTTTTGAATGAATGAAACAGCACTGTTCCTAAACCTATTTAGTACATTACTCATAACAGATAAATTATTAAAAACAGCACTATTTAAGTCATTCTTAGAAAGTCAATGGAAACAACATGGAAAAGATTAATCACATATTTGATGAATATTGATGCAAATCAAGGAATTGCTCATAATCCAATAGCCTATAGATTACATTTCAAATAAGAATTCTTGTGTACAAACTAATTGGTATACCTACAATTGTTTTCTTAAATCACTTAAATACCTTTATAGCACACATATTAAAACAAAGACAGTTTATTTACTGAATTTTACTTTGTACAATCAGGAAATATAGTGAAATTTGGCATTTTATAATTAATTTGTAAATGTACTTTACTATTATTGAATTGATTATTTTCAATATTTTAGGTTTTCGTGCCTCAATAAAAACTTCATACCACACATTTATTTTGAAACATGTAAGTTATTATGTAATAATATAATGGTTGTTTAATTTTCTATATAACTGAAATTCAAATAAATTTCAATACATGCACTTTGTATTATTAAAACTTATTTATTTTCTTTTATTAATATCAACAGACTATTTTAAAGCTCTTTTTCAAACATGAAGTTGACTGAGATACAATATGATCACTCTTTTGTCTTCTAGTTTTATACGGGCATGCAATTACTATACAACCATATCAGTCACTCATAATTCATTTACCATCATTATCGTAAAAACGTTCTTTAAAAACAAAGAAACTGGGCACCTGAGTGGCTCAGTTGTTAAGCGTCTGCCTTCCGCTCAGGTCATGATCCCAGGGTCCTGGGATCGAGCCCCACATCGGGCTCCCTGCTCGGCGGGAAGCCTGCTTCTCCCTCTCCCACTCCCCCTGTTTGTGTTCCTGCTCTCGCTATCTCTCTGTCAAATAAATAAATAAAATCTTTAAAAAAAATAAAAAAATAAAAACAAAGAAACAAAAACATGCTGGGAATGTATTATGCAACCCAGATCAGGCCAAAAATATGTTCCCCAACTCTCAAGTATTGCTAAAAAATAGTAAGGTGAGGCTTTCAAGCAGAAGGCATTCTCTTCTGCCAATATTTAAGATGTTCGGCTGCCAACCCAATCACTTACTTGAGAGGAAAGAAAAAAATGCAGAAACTCACAGAAGTTAAAATTAGAATAAGTAAACTCAAAAGCAGAATGGCCATTTGTTATGCAAATTAACTACTTTTTGATAACTAAATGGGCATTACTTCCTTATTTTATTGTACCTCTATCTATCCTTGGCCCCTATTGAACTACCCTTCCTTCCTTAAGGGCAGACTTCCCTTGGCTTTCAGGACACCCACACTCTCCTGTGTTACCTGACTACTTTTTAGTCTGGGTTGCAGCTTCCTCTCTCCCTGGGGGCCTCTGGCTTCTGTCCTGGATGCACCCAATGCACTCTGCTTAGACACTCTCATCCCCTCCCATATTAGCAGTTGAGATCTCTAGTCACTCTTTCTCCACGCAGGATCTCGCTTTGCCTGGAGAGCTATGGAACCAGCTTTGTCTCTTTCAGGACATGCCCATTTGATAGGTTTCTCAAACCAGCATGCGCAGATCTGAACATATCACTCCCTCACCCAGTATAACCTGCTCTTCTCCTGCGGTCTTCCCTTCCATGAATGGTACTAATTATTTCTCATGCCCGTGCTAGACCATGTCTTCAGTCTTAGATCAGTTTCTGAACCTTTATCTATTGATATTTTAAATGATGATAAATCTTAGTTTATCATCTTGTTCAACATTATCATTTTCGATGTTTAGTAACTGTATTTCCATGGACCTATCTGCTCTCTGCTTCACCTATTTGCAATCTTAGTCATGCTGTTGAGTTGGAAGAACACTAACGGGCTTCTCTGGATTTCAGAGAGAACAAGAATCACACTCAGGGTGTATGTAACCAAAAAAGATTCCCTGACTCTGCAAAAGCTGTCAGCATTATGTTATTTCTTATGTTTCTCTAGCAAAGTCTCATTGCAGATGCAGAAATTATTTCTTATGTAGCTAAGAATAAGTTTTTTAAAAAGCAAACTTAATTCTCATAACAACTTCATGAAGGTTTCATATCCCCTGTGCTCTATAATCATGACTAACATTGTACTGATGTCCGAATAAACTCCCACTGTCTCAGCCTGACATTTAAGGACTTCCATCTGACATTGCCTTTCTAAGACATCGCTTTTTTGTCTAAGCACACTTTACAATTTGGATACCATTAATTTGGCTTCTAATTAATCTGAATTACTGTCATTTCCATAAGCACCCTACACAGCCCTGTCTCAACCTTTCCCCCCTTACCCCTTCCATATTTACATGGCAGGATTCTCTCATCATTCCTTTAATTTCTTGGGAAAATATCAATTTATATTCAAAATAAATTGACTATTTTATATAATTATTAAATGTACTACTTTGTGCTTTTCTTAGGATACACTACTTTTTCTAATCTTATTGGAACTTCAGAATCCATCCTGTAGGGGCGCCTGGGTGGCTCAGTCTTTAAGCATCTGCCTTCGGCTCAGGTCATGATCCCAGGGTCCTGGGATTGAGCCCCGCATCGGGCTCCCTGCTCGGCGGGAAGCCTGCTTCTCCCTCTCCCACTCCCCCTGCTTGTGTTCCCTCTCTCGCTGTGTCTCTCTCTGTCAAACAAATAAAATCTTAAAAAAAAAAAAAAGAATTCATCCTGTAGGGTGATATTATAGTTGAACAAATGTGAAAACATTTTTATTTTTATGGTACTTTATGTTAAAGTCACCTGGACTAGTACCAAGGACAGAACCATTATATTCTAATATCTTTAAAGCAAATTGAGTTATAGTGAAATTGAGATGTAGTTGAGTAAAGGAAAAGTATTCCTCTAGCTATTATTTACTATGAGTTGAAAACTTGCATTTAGTATCTTTATTAATGGCATAAAATACCTTATTAATGATACAAAACAAATTCTTCATTTTTCTATTAGGAAAAATATTGTTCTTTCACAGAATTGAAAGGCAAATATAGCTCCTTTGAAAGTAAACAAGTCCTCATGTTATTACATGTTGTAAATGATATGATTTTTGACTTACAAAAAGCTATTGGTGTCTGTAAAATTAGTATGATATTAGTAAAGATGTTGGAATTGAAAAGTTATTTTCAATGTATCTGGAATTATTAACAGAAATTCTGGAAGAACAGAATTTCTTTGAGAAGGTGTGTGATTCCCTGGGAAATCATAAGTCATTTTCAGACTTGACATTGGCTCTATAATAATTACAATATTCATTTATCTCAAATACTTACACTAGAAGACCAAAGTCATTCCTTCTCATATCTGACATTTCAAAGGACATCTTTCTCTTTGTGCTACAAAAAGGTATTACACACTTCTGAAAGAAAATTAATTTATATCTTGGCTTTGATTCACCACCTACCAAAGATTCACTTAAGACATCTGATATTTGATTGAGACAGGTTAATGGGCATATTAGCTGTCCATCTAGTATATTCAGGTTCTATCACTGCATTAAGTAAGATGATTAGAAAGTAAAGTACTTGACTATACATTATTATTCCAATCCTTTACAGAAAGGCACTCTTTGAAATTTGATTTAACGTTATATTTTTACCTTTCCAGAAGGTCAGCTTAAGAACTGCTTATTTGAATAGTATTTCGATATTTTTATAAAATGGTTATTTATAGAATTTTCTGAAAGAAATGGTTATTTACAGAGTTTACTGTCCTTTCAAGAATCACTTGATGAAATATCTATGTGATAACTACCTTCTGGAGTTTAGTTCCAACACAAATATTTTGTTGTCAATTTTAATTGTTGGACATTTGAAATTATACAATGTATCAGGTTTATAGATTGTTTTTGTGACCTTACCCGACTAGACATTTATTGTCAAGTTTAGAACCCAATTGTAGTACATAACACATTTGAGGTGACAGTATTCCCCATCTTTCTTCTTCATACCAATGTCATTGACCTCTTTGGCCTTTTGGGAAATTGATGAATCATGTCACTTAGTTACTCAGCAATTGTCTTCTTGTGCAATTATTCTACAAGAAGCACCCAAGCACTGGGGATACATGTTGGGCAAAACTGAACAATTTTTACCTTTGGGAAATTAAAGTTCAGCAGATATTAATTAAAAAAAATCATACAAGTAAACTGAAAAGTACCATGTAGGAATACCAAAGTTTCATCTTATGGGTGAGTTAATGGAGGGGTGGGGCTGAGTTAGAGGAATGTTCCCTGATAAACTGAGGTGTGGATTATGAACTGAAAATAGTGAAAGAGGAGCAGTTTTGTAGAGAGAATTCTAAGCCTGTGCCCCCAGAAGGCATATGAAGGAACTAAAAGAAGCCAGCAGGCACAGAGAAGAGAGTAAGGGCACATGGGATCTCCTGATGTTGGACAGGCAAGCAAAGACAGCATGCTGAACTCCAGACAAATACAGACATACAGAAAACATGCA